GAGGGCAAAGATGGAGAAGACCAGAGACCAGTAGAGAATTGAAGAGATCGTCTAGTTCAGAACTTAACTCTTGTTAATTTGACTGGATACTGAAGATGAGGAAGGGAAGGGTCATGAATGAATGACAACTCAATGGTTAGCAGTGCTATTAAGTGGCACTGGCAGAGTACCAGGAGGGGAAACCATAAGGCAAGATGTTTGGCATCAATTTTAAAGTAAGGAGTGGTATTTATGGGTCTTGAGCTCAGGGGAAAAAGATGTAGGTTAGTGGCACACTTGAGTTAATGACATAAATGAAGCAATGGGATTTCAGAGTTAAGCTGGAGATAGTACAGTGAAAAGAGAGGACTTAGGACCTTGAGAAAAGAATCAGGTAGAGCTGAGTGGCAAAGGAGACCAAGTGAGTACGGAGGTGGGGGGGAGGAAACAAAAAAGTTTGGGAAGAGCAGGGAGGCACACAAATTGTACTGCCTTGACAGCCAAAATAGAGGTCAAAGTGATCAACAGGATCAGATGCTATTTACAGGGAAGACTAGGACTAAAAACATCTACAAAAGATTTAGCAAGATGGACATCATCCTTAACATTATGGACTTGCTTCCAATAAAGTGGGAGAGGAAGTCAGACCAGAGGTGTATTGAAACAGATGGAAACTACCCAATGCAGGAAAGGTTTGGCTGGAGAAAGCAGGGTTTAGTTTTTCATTTTACTGAGAGTTTTGTGGGTTTTTAAAAAAGATTATTTTATTTTAGAGAGAGCATGAGCAGGAGGAGCAGAGGGAAAGAAAGAATCTCAAGTGGACTCCACGCTGGGCACAGAGCCTGAGGTGGGGCTCCATCCCAGGACCCCAAGATCATGACCTGAGTCTGACGCTCAACTGCCTGCGCCACCCAGGCACCCCTTACTACAGGAGTTTTGAGCACAATTAAAATGTTGGCAGGAAGGGTATTTTAGGAAAGGATTGGTTGAAGAGAAAACAAGTTAAAGGAGGGGCAATTTGTAATGGACACTAAAACAGGATCCAGAGAAAGGAGACATGACTTTAACAGGAGGCATTGGAGAGGATGGTGTAGAGTTCTCATTAGGTTTGGTTGAAGCCTTGGGAATGATATTCAGGTGACTTCAATTGTGTGACTAAATCATACTTGAGGACTAGAGTTGAAGAAGGGACAATTAAAAAAAAGATTTTATTTATTCATTGGAGACAGAGGGAGGGGGAAGCAGAGGCAGGCTCCCTGTGGAGCAGGGAGCCTGATGTGGGACTCAATCCCAGAACCCTGGGATCAGGACCCGAGCCAAAAGCAGACACTTAACTGACTGAACCACCCAGGTGCCCCTAAGGGACAATTTTTAAATAGCCATAGTGAAGAGCGGAACTGCAATCCCACATCTCCATGTATGTTGTATAACCATCGGACTGAAGGTCCTCTGTTAAGTGATGTTTAAAGCCTACTGGTTAGCTCCATAATGAAACTTTGGGGAATCCTAATTCCTCTGTGAATCTTGCATCTTCCATTCAAAACCGTATCTGCTTTCTACATGGTGAGCCTTTGATTCCAAGTAATCTTGGCTAAGACTTCCCTTTATGTTGTTTCCAGCACTTAGATGAAACAAGAGGCTCTGTTCCTCATTTAGAAACATGAATGCATCTTAGAACTAAGATATGCACTTACCCATGCTTTTGTGTAAGGCTGTAATGCCATCTGGTGATCATACAAAGAAGAAAAGTCAAACTTTATCATTGAGTAATTATTTATTTAGTGGCTCATCAGCAAAAAGACACATTGGAAACCAAACTTAATACAAGATTTCAGTCATCAAATGCCTATTTCATTAAGGACACAGTACAAGGGTAGGGATTCAATGACCAATTGCCAGCTCTTAAGGATCGTAGTCTGATGGCGAATGGACAAGGAGTCTGGCCTCAAGGTGGGCCTGGCTGTGAGTAGAGATGAATCAAGAACTCTATACTGGTTTAGGTTACTTGGGAGTAGGTGAGGTGTGCACCAGGGATGGTAAAGAATGAGGCTACAAAGCAAGAATTTCTGCTAAGACTTTGAAAGGTCTAAGTGACAGCTATGTTATGTAAGACTTTAAACACCAGGAAAGAATCTGGATTTGCACTGATAATGAAGACCTTTTAGTTTTGCACAGGAGACATATTGAGGACATGTATTTGATACCACACAATCACTAAGCAGCTGATAATACTTTCTAATTATTACAATTTTGAGGGTAAAGTACCATTATTCCTGTTTTATGTAAGAGATTAGGAAGCTTGCAGGTGAAGCAGCTCAATAGTGACAAAAGCCAGGATTTGAACCCAGTTCTATATCAATCCAAACACAGAGCTTTTGAGCATGACATGTTATTGCCTTCACAGAGCTGTAGTCTCAATCTCTTGACAGTCCACCATCTAGTTATTTTTTTTAACAGATTTAATGCCCTGAAACCAGGTCATTCCTATACTTTAAGCTATTTAAAAATAGAGAACTATTAACCAGTGGCTCTTTTAGCAGTGGCATGGGGGCAAGGACAGGTAAGATGTTTAAGAAATAATTTTTGAATAATACATATAATAAAATTCAAAGAACACAAGTTTTCCCCAACTTGGGTTCCCCTACGTAAAGGCAACTCACTTACCAATCATTTCTTGTGTATTCTAAGGATTTTCTATAAAGAAACACTTTGTATGTATATGCATATGTGTGTATATGCTTGTGGTTTACCAAAGATGACCACAAATTCTTTGCCACTCTTCTCATAGTGGAATCAATTTCTACTCTACCTGCATCTGGAAGGGCCCTATAAATGGCTTTCACCAACAGAATGCAGAAGTGACTTTTTTTCAGAAGAGACAAAATTTTAAGATCTTTTTTCACCCACTTGGAACCCAGTTGCCATGTGAAATCCCAACCACTGTGAAGAGGCCACATCAAAAGATCCAAAGCACTTTGAGTCTACAGCTCCAGCTGAATGAGGCCTCCAAATGGCTAGAGCTCCAGCCAAGTCCATGTAGAACACAACCACCCAGCTGAGCCCTATCAACCCAAAGAATTTTAATACTTGTTTGAACCATTAAGTTTTAAGGTGGTTTGTTATGTAATGATACACACTAAATGAAGATTTATTTACTTTTTAAATTATTTATTTAGGGGCGCCTGGGTGGCTCAGTCGTTAAACGTCTGCCTTCGGCTCAGGTCATGATCCCAGGGTCCTGGGATCGAGCCCCGCATTGGGCTCCCTGCTCAGTGGGAAGCCTGCTTCTCCCTCTCCCACTCCCCGTTTGTGTTCCCTCTCTCGCTGTCTGTCATATAAATAAATAAAATCTTAAATTGGAAGGAAAATAAATATGGGAATAATTAGATAGATGTACAGAAGTTACAGATGAGGAAAACATTAAAATACTGACAGACACAAATGAGACCTTAAATGGTAATTCATACCATATCTAAGAAATTTTAACCTAAAGATAAATCTTTTTTTTTTATCTTCAAACCTATTACTTGTTACTTCAATGAACCACTTTCAATGGACACCCATAGACATATTTCCAAGTAAACTTACCATCTATGAGTGATTTTTACTTCTTTCCCCATTTTTTTTCTAATTATGTTTGATAGTAACCTTGAATAAAAGCTTTTTTTTTTTTTTTTTAAATAGGATCATTTCTAGTTTCCTCATTAAGCATCACACAGCCTTTTGGAGTAAGACGCTTTTAACGGTTAGGAATGTTGACCCTCAGCAGTTTTAGCAAATGCTGTTTTAGCATGTAGGGAGATTATTCTCTTTTCTTTTTTTTAAAGATTCTATTTATTTATTTGACAGGGAGAGAGACAGCGAGAGAGGGAACACAAACTGGGGAGGGGGGAGTGGGAGAGGGAGAAGCAAGCCTCCTGCCGAGCAGGAGCCCAATGCAGGGCTAGATCCCAGGACTCTGGGGTCATGACCTGAGCTGAAGGCAGAGGCTTAACAACTGAGCCACCCAGGCACCCCTAGGGAGATTATTCTTTTTTTTTTTTTTTTAAGATTTTTTTTTATTTTTTTATTTATTCGAGAGAGAAAGAATGAAAGATAGAGAGCACGAGAGGGAAGAGGGTCAGAGGGAGAAGCAGACTCCCTGCTGAGCAGGAAGCCCGATGCGGGACTACATCCTGGGACTCCAGGATCATGACCTGAGCCGAAGGCAGTCGCTTAACCAACTGAGCCACCCAGGCGCCCGAGATTATTCTTGATATATTGTTGAAATAATCTCAGAATGACTTTTCTGTGTTGTTTTATTATGTAACTGTTTATTACATGTATCTGTAACATCTTTATGTCCCTAATTTAGCAGTTGTACTACTATATATGTAAAACTAAAATGGGAACCCTACTCTACTCCATCCTTTAATAAAGTAAATCTTTGGAGCACCTGCTTGGATCAGTTGGTTGAGCGTCCTCACTGAAGTCAAGATCTCAGAGTCGTGAGATGGGACCCAGCATCAGGCTCTGTAGGGGCCTAGAGCCTGCTTAAGATTCTCTCCCTCTCTGCCCTGCATTCTCTTTCTCTTAAAAAAAAAAAAAAGTAAATCTTTGAGGAATTTTTTAATGTCTCAATTTTCTTATTCTGACCCTCATTGAACCCATAGTTTAGTAGGGCTAGCACTGAATAATTTTAATAAAATGTGACAAACGCTATCAGAGGGCAAGCCTAGGTGTGGGAATGTGTGACCCATTGAGGCCTTCCAGAGGGACATTTTAAAAATACCTAAGAGATTCATAGGTGATATGACAGGAAGAATAAAGTAGATGTGTGCTAAAAGCAAGGCTAATGGGTTTGTCTGTATATGTTCTTTGTATGCCAAGAGCAAAAGCAAGCCTCTTCAAGCTTCAGCAACAGTGGCCAAGATGCTGATAGCCTGAAAGAAGTTATTTGGCATTTGGAATAGTTTTAAGAAACTAGAAAAAACTGGCATTTCAGTAGTTCATGAAAGATGTTAATCCTTAGTCTGAATGAGTTTGATGATTAAAGAAGGCAAGCAATTATTTATTAGAATTAGTTGGAAAGACCTGGGGGCACCATACTTAAAAGTTCCAAATCAAACACTAGCTTTGGAGCTAGATTAATTGAACACCACAGTGGTTCCTGGACCCACTGTGTGACCTTGGGCAAAATAACAGCAGTACCTTGTAGGCCTGTTGAGAGGATTAAGAGATGTAGAATGAGTTTACCAATTCTGGCACATCAACATGCAGTAAATGTTGTCAGTGTTGTAGAGTGCCACACGTCCTGCAGTATATTTACAGGAATATCCTAAAATGACAAAACCATAGATTCAAAGGTTATTTATTTTTATAGAGCCCCAGAGTAAGCATGTTAAAATTATCCATTTAAGTCTGGTTATAACCTACGTTTAATCTGGCACCTACTTGTCAGCACAATGACCGCTAGAGTTTTCTAGTTATAATTTACACACAAAGCTATTTCACAAACTTTAACTATAAAGACATAGATTACTAAAAAAAGTAACAAAAGGCCACACATATATTTTAGTTAACAGACGTCTCGGGGCACCTGGGTGGCTCAGTCGTTAAGCGTCTGCCTTCGGCTCAGGTTATGGTCCCAGGGTCCTGGGATCGAGCCCCGTGTCGGGGTCCCTCCTTGGCGGGAAGCCTGCTTCTCCCTCTCTCACTCCCCCTGCTCGTGTTCCCTCTCTCACTGTGTGTGTCTGTCAAATAAATAAATAAAATCTTAAAAAACAGATGTTTCAAATTGGAAATCTGCAAATCCATTATTTTCTTTCAATACTTTCTGAAGTTAAATTTAGTTTTAAATAGTTGCACACTAGGTTACATCTTTAGAGTCCAAGAGCAAATGCTTTGGAAATCAGACACCTTTGTTTTCATGATTTTGTTTCAAACGGTTAAAGAACAAAACCAGCACTGTTGATACCTTCAGTTACTGTGGTAATCTTGAAAAGCAGGATATGCCAATGGCATTACTCTATTTTAGATATATTTTGACACAAAGATATTCATATTTACCAGCTGAAGGTCTTTAGTCAGCAGTCAGCAGAATTGAGGCTGCCTGGCAGTATGGGAAATAACCTTGAGAAGCTGGTGAATAATACCTTTCAAAGGACTCTTACACAGCATCTGACTATCTAGGTCTGTGGGGAGCCATGGTGCGAAGACACATGGAGGGGGTACTCAGATACTCAGGGAAGGTGGCTTCTCTGCAGAAGGGCTGTCTGAGCTAAGACCTCAAAGGAGACAAAATGGAGAAGGAAGATGGAACCAGAAAGGCAAACAGCATGTGCAGAGACCTAAGAGCAAAAGTCTTATCAAGGACTGAACGAAATCGGTGTAGCCAGAAGGGAATCTGAGGGTGGTAAAGATGGGGCGATGAGAGGGGTAAGGGTTAGACTGTGTTAAGGCCTGACAGGCCATGTTAGGTAAGCAGGGACTATGTCTTGTCCATCACTCACCCCAACGTCTAGCAGAGTTCACTTAATAAAGGCTATAAACTCATAAAAAAGGTGAGTTAAATGACAGTCTTCTGATAAGATGTGTAATTAGCATAGGTCATTGTCTTCCTCTAACTCAGCCCTGGAGATTACACAAACAAGAAGTAAGTTAGAGATCTGAAAAATTAAATATGAAGAGTTCTTGGAGGAACTGATCATGATTGGGTCCTACTACAGAAGGGCAAGAAATGGAAGCCTAGTGCAGAAAAGGGCAGAGTGCAATGAGAGTAGGGGTAGTAGAGGTTGGGGCAGAACTTTTCTGTTCTGCCTTTTCCCCTCCTGCTCACTGCCTCATCTTTCATTGGCAGGGTGGCCAACATCTTGCAACCTTTCGTAGCCCCTGGAGTTATCCTCCAGAGAATTACAACTGAGGAGATGGAGAGAGAGTTCTACTAGCTGCCACTCTGGTAAAGTCCAGATTCTAACTCAGAGGCTTTAGGCCTTTGAGGGCATCTCCACCCTCCAACCCATTCCGACACTAGAACAAGGGCTTGGCTCCTCCCTTCTACAAGATTAAAACAAAAACAACAACAACAACACAAAAAAGGAAGTCCCATCCTCCGCTGTGAGTTCATACGGTAAAAAGAATCAACTTTTGCATCCACTATGAAAGAAAACAAGGTCAACCATTATTCTAGATGAGGGAGAATAAACGACTATAAACTAAAAGGTGTTGAATATTAAAAATAGAATGTTTACACAATACGGGGAACAGTGAAGTAAAGATCCTGGTTATAGACAGTTCATTGTTCTACCAGCAGACAGGGCCTAGAAGCAACAGCACCTCAGTATCAAGAGCATATCTAGTGCCTAGTTTCTTAATGCCATTCACCAGTAAAGGAACCAGGGGTCCCTGGACAAATGTTTGACACTGAGACAGGAAAGATACCAGATGAGTATGGAGCCTCTTAATAGTGCCATAAAGCGAGAAGTGCTTAAAAACCAAAACCCCACAATGATGGAGGCATACTGAAGGTATACAGTAGCCAAACTAAGAGCTCTCCCAAAGGTCAAAGCTGGAACGCTGAAAGAAATAAAGTATTACTGGATTACTTCCCAAAGCATAGCAGAAATAGCCGTGGGTTTATAGTGGTATAAATGAATTGAATGAGAGGTCAATTTATTTCTTGAGAATTCCAAGTAACCTACATAGATATTCCACTTTCAAAGAGAGCACAACTCCTGTCTTTTTAACTGTTTGTTGCACATAGTGATTTCATTCCAAAGCACACAGAATTGGGTCAGGGAGAGTAACTCTACAGTGGAGAAATCTGGCAAGACAAACCTCTCAGCCAGCTGATCAAGGTTAACAGCAACACTAATAAGTCATCTTGATAAAGAGAATGGAAATTTACCTCTATGGTCTTCCTCTCAAAATCCCTTAAGCCCAGCTTAATCATGAGAAAAACTCAATCCTAATTGAGGGACTTTCTACAAAATAGCTGACTCAAATTCAAGGTCATCAAAAATAAGCAAGTCTAAGAAGCTGTCATAGCTAAAAGGAACCTAAGGAGGGCGCCTGGCTGGCTCAGTTGGTAAAGTATGTGACTTGATCTCAGGGTTATAAGTTCAAGCCCCATGCTGGGTACAGAGGGCACTCCAGAATAAAATCTTAAAAAAATAAAAAAATAAATTTTAAAAGGAGCCCAAGGAGATATAATAACTAAATGTGATATCCTCAATGAGATCTTAGAACAAAGGACATTAAGTAAAAACTAAGGAAATGTGAATAAAGTATGGACGTAGGTAATAGTAACGTATCTATATTAGCCCACTAATTGTGACAAATGAACTATACTAATGTAAAATGTTATTAGAGGAAACTGGACGTAGGGTACATGGGAATTCTTTGTACTATCTTCACAAATTTTCTGTAAATCTACAATTATTCTAAAACAAAATTTCAAGGTCCATTTTACCAGCCTTTTCTGAGGTAGTAATTAAGTCACCCTTAACAAGTAGTACAGAATAGTCTCATACTCTAAAGGGGAGGGCCAAAGTAACAGGCTTCTTTGAGCCAGACCTTAGGATACTAAACTGACAAATATACGACCCAGCAAGCTGGCTTATTGTTTCTAAATAGCAGTAAAGAGAAAGAATTGCTAAGCAGACATTCTAAGTATTACAGTTGATTTGTTAATTCAGTGAAATTGTTTTCCAAGACAGGTCCATTAACTGGAGCTGTTCATAAAGCCCTAATTAGGCAACAAGATTCAAGGAGTCACTGTCACTCTTTTAAGTACTTAATTAGTTGCTCTTAAGGGATTGTTTTCTTTTGTGTGAATTCCTAGGCAGTGATCCACCTTTTTGTGTCCCTTTGGGGCCTGCACAATTTATTTCTCTGGGGTTTTATTTTTATTTTCCTGATTACAATTTGAGACATGATCCACAATTTTAATGCAAAAGTCCACTGATAGCAGTTTCAACCCTGAAGGAAGGGAAGTAAATTATGGATAGGCACCAGGGATGGTCTACTCAATACTTGTGTCTCCCTACCTGTCCTGCTTTAGTTTTTCCTTAGTATGGCATAGGACTGAGCCTTGAAACTTGAGCAGGACAATGAAGAGGGTCACTGTGTCTACTAATTGCTACCTACAATAGGAGGTGGCAGCTTGGGGCTAAATAGTTACTTTAAAATGTTTTACTTCATCTTCTTTTATTTCCTCACCAGGAGATTTAAAAAAAGAAAATCAAGTCAACAGGGAGTAGTAGGTGACTAATTAACTTCACCTATCAACTAGGAAATCCCATTACATTTTAATGTGCATGATTAAGCCACTGAAATCTCCTGGGGCATTGAATACAGATACCAATGAATCATCCTTCTTCAAGGAGCAACAAAGAAGCACCCTCGCTGCACGTGGGTAGCCTTAAGAGTAGTCAGGAAGGCAATCTGTATGCTCAGAGAGCATACCATCCCAGATTTTAAACCAAGATGTCATGACAAAGTCTTCCTCCTTCCTTAGGGACCATTTCTATTTCATGACCTAGGGCTGAAAGCTGTGATCAGACTGCTGTTCTTTCTTAGAACCTCTCCTTTGGGTATACATTAAAAATGAAGAGAACCACTATGACTAAAAGTAAGCCATGCAAAGAATATACACAACAAACTCCAAACACAAGAAAGGACTATTCTAGCACTGGATAATTTACTAAAGTCATCTTAGTCCTCTACAAGGTAGAGTTTAAGGCTAGATGGTAAAGGCTTGCTGTGAGGCGAAGGTACTGATAACATGGAATTCTTCAGAGACAAGTTGGTACTGGCCCTGAACCTGTCACTAAATGAGCTGTCAAATCTCAAGGCCTGAATTTAATTTTCTAGAACAGGGATTGGCAAACTCTAGCTCACAGGCCAATTTTGGCCTGCCAATCTGTTTTTGAAAAGCCCTCAAGCTTAGAATGATTGGGGGAAATTTTTCAGTTATAACACTGAAAACTTTACAAAATTCCAATTTCAGTGTCCATTAATAAAGTTTTATTGGAACACAGCAATGCTCATTTGTTGACACACTGTCTATGTCTATGGCTGCTTTCATACTGCAAATGCAGAACTGAGTAGCTACAAGAGAATATATGGTGTACAAGCCTAAAATATTATCTGGCCTTTTACAGCAAGTTTGCCAACCCCTGCTCTAGAACAGCAGTGTATAATGAAACTTTCCACGTTGGTGGAAATGTTCTCTGAGCTGTCCACTATGGTAGTCACCAAATACTGAGATGGAAAACCAGATTTAGTTTTTGTCAGTTGAAGTAGTGTCATGTATTGTACAACGCAACTCTATGAGACTTTAGTTTAAGCCTTGGACCTTAGATCAAGTATTGTCTAATATTCTCATACTCTTAAGTTTTTAGAGTACTAAGTTCTAGATAGGCAGTCCTATGTGAACTCTAAGTTTTAGAACTCAAAGTTTTTCCACCTGTGAAGAAAACCTCAGTTTTTTAAAAAAATTTTCTTTTAAAGTAAGCTTTACAAACAACATGGGGCTTGAACTCAGGACCCTGAGATCAAGAGTCGCATGCTCTTAAAAAAAAAAAGTCACATGCTCTATGGACTGAGCTAGCCAGGACCCCAAGAAAACTTCACTTTATATTTTTCCTTTACTCTCACACTACTACCACACTCTCAGCATTTCTGACACCAGATGTGTGTGGGTTTTCCCCCACATCAAGCAAATCTGTGTCACCAGCTGGGTGTCCTACAGTTTCACTCAGTTCTGACACTCTATACACCTGGAGTATCATCAGACCCCACAGGTTAAGGGTGCAGTCCAAAAGACTGCCCCTCCCTCACTTCAGATGCCAATCACAAGTCCAGGTTGTTACCAGTGCTTCTAACCAGTCTCTGATACAAATCAGAGGTTCCCACAAACCCCCCTCAGGTTTGATTAATTTGCTAGAGTAGTCTCAGAACTCAGGAAAATGGTTTCCTTACTGTTTACCAGTTTATTTTAAAAGGATATGAGAAAGGCTATAAACATCCAGATGGGAGATGCACAGGGCAAGGCTATGTGGAAAGGGGCATTGAGCTTCCACGCCTTCTCTGGGTGCACTACTCTCCAGCCCAAGTGTTCACCACCCAGAAGTTCTCTAAACTCCACACTACTGGGATTTTTATGGAGGCTTCATCATGTGGGAATGATCAATTAACTCCATTTCCGGCCCCTTTCCCCTTTCTGAAGAATCCAGGTGGGGCTGAAACTTCTAAGCTTCTAATCATTGCTTGGCCTTTCTGGTGACCAGCCTCATTAGAACAAACATTCCAATCATCCAGGAAATTCCTGGATTTAGGAGCTCAGTGTCAGAACACAGAGTCAAAGACCAAACATTAGAACAAAAGATGCTCCTAGTGTTCTTATCACTTAGGGAATTTTAAGAGTTTTAGGAACTCTGTGCCAAGATGAGAACAGACGCCAATATGTATTTTTTTCTATTATTTCACACCACCCATCTGAGCTGAAACATGTTAATGAGAACCTACACGACAAAAGGGACTATATACATTACCTATCCTGATGTCACACAGGGCTGTCAGACATCTGAGGTCCTGATGGAGGCAGAGTTCTCACTAGGGTAAAGGCATCTAGGATTCAAAGAGGAAAGGAATGAAAAGCTATCCCTAAGATAGGGTCCTTTCCTCAAAAAACAAAAACAAAAGCAAAAACAAAAACTGTTTGCACCCAGACTAGGACCAACTCCACAGGAGGAGCTACTCCACTCTCACAGGTGCAAAACGCTGCCCAAGAGTACTTAGCCACACCACCAAAACAGTGCTTGGAGCCAGACCTCAATAAAGGCCGCATTTGCTCTTCCAACCGTGTAACACCATCCAAGGCATCACACTAGCCTGGATAGCTGACAACAGCTGGGTGATTCCCAAAACAGCTTTCTTTGTTTCAGATACCCAGACACCCCAAGTAGAAGATAGGGATACAGGTATCCTCATGAATTCAATGTTGACTGCAAACCAGAAGCCTGGAAGCACTGATGGCAGACTTTGCTGCCAAGCCCTTTAAACAAATAGGAAACAGGAACCCCTTTCCCATGCCTTCAGTCATTTTGTCCAACATTCAGGGAATTCCTGCTATGTGCCAGGCACTATGACTGGGATCTAGCAGTGAACACACAAGATACACCATCCTTAAAAAAAAAAAAAAAAGATACACCATCCTTCTTATCCAGGACTTTACAATCTTTTACATTCCTCAGATGGAATGGTACAGATAATCTCAGAGATCCTACATGCCTTCAGACCATAACCACCAAAATCCCACTTAGCCTTTCACGGCTCAGAGGCCGAATTTGTTGGGGTGGGGGGTGGTGGCAAAAAAGGTGATTTTGCCTCCCCACTGCTTCCTGATGCATACCAACCAGCAAACAGGCCTGCCACACAGGAGGCAGTCACTGTTGGAATGAATAGGGACATTTACCTGAGAATGCCATACAGACTGTTCACCAGCCACTAATTTTCTCTCTTTAGGAGGACCCAAGATGCCCCACTTTCAAGTCATCCTGAAAAAGAAAAAGATGTCATCGTTCAACACCCTAGACTAAACAGTAGCTCCTGAAGCTGCTTTTCTGTAGAAATGGAAACAATGCTGTCTGCCATTTATGATTTACCCTATTTAGTACCCTCCAGAATTATTTTATTTCCCATTGTCTTTTTCTTGCCTATAATTACCATTAAAGCTAACCGTTCCCCCAAACCCTCTAGATAGCATGACTCCTAAGACCCCATATGTAAAAGGCTATTTACAATGAACATCTGAGGTATTCACACAAAGCACTCAACATTTAGCTAAGTGAACCCTTTTTAGGGAAAGCCAATTGACAGAACAAAGCTAGCTTTTATAAGTAACTCCCGTGCCTCCTAACACCCTCACCAGTTCCTCCTGTGGAATCTAGGCTGTCACTTCACAGAAGCAACTAAGCAGCAGCAACTAAGTCAGCCCTACTGGACAATCTCCAGCATCACCCTGAGTATTAAGTGTTTGCCTAGAACTGAGAAGCATCTCTTCTCAGAAAATTAGCAATCCAAAACAAAATCACTACAAAAAGGAACCCAGTATTTACTGCTCCAAAGGGGAAACAACTCTGTTCACTCCTGAAAGTCAGTAAGAAACCAACAAAAATATAGTGTCAGCCTAAAGCAGAAATTAGTACGGTTGTAGCTAATCCTACTGCCTAGAGCTTCTCAATCTACTGGTTATTTTTATATTTTATTAAAGAGCTAGAGCAGAATGCCCTAATTTTTTTTTTTAAAGATTTTATTTATTTATTTGAGAGAGAGAGAATGAGAGATGGAGAGCACAAGAGGGAAGAGGGTCAGAGGGAGAGGCAGACTCCCCGCCAAGCGGGGAGCCCGATGTGGGATCCGATCCCGGGACTCCAGGATCATGACCTGAGCTGAAGGCAGTCGCTCAACCGACTGAGCCACCCAGGCGCCCCAGAATGCCCTAATTTTTAAAGCAAATTCACATCAACATTTCCCTAATCAGGCATTCCTATAGGTAACTGCATCTATGAAACCCCCTACAAAGGGATCAGCATGACTAGCTTTCTATGGTGCAGGAATGGGGGCCAGGCACTTTGATTTCAGTGAAAAATTGCAAAAAGCCCATTGACTCTTTGGAGCACTTGGTAGGCATTCAAAAAGTAAGAAGGTGACTTTCACCCTCTACTACATTCCTCATGGCTTGATTACCTTTGTTCTGTTTCCAAGATATGACTCAAGTAACTTCATACTAGGCAAACCTGTTGAACAAGAACCACTCAAAAAGATTTGGATTTTTAGGTTTCTCCCTGCAAAGTCATGCCCTTACAGATTTAACCTTAATGAATAAACAATTATGCTGGCATCCTGGTATAGTTAACAACAGAGTTGGCATGAACCAGGTCCAGAATGCCAACCAGCTATCGGCTGCTGTTCTCCCAGCAGTGTAACACTTGCCTAGGTACACAGCAACCTAGGCAGCTGCCTACAGCTGGGGCCGAAGGCAGGCTAATGAAGTTGCACTCACCTGGGGCTGCCTCTGTCCAAAGCCCACGGCTGTCCCCTCTGCAATCAAAGTAATCCAGGTTAGAGTCGGCCAACAGTAGTGAACACTAAGGTGAAGTTCAAGACTTCTGCCCGCAAAAACCCCGTAACTTATTTCTGAGTCATAGAAATAGGCAATAAAACAAAAAGCTTTTCCATGGTTAGCTTTATTTTCTCACATCATCTGTTAGCCATGTGCCACAGCAACTCAACAAGAGCATTTTTTTTTCACATTTTATTTTTAAGTAATTTACACCCAACATGGGGCTCGCACTTACAACCCTGAGATCAAGAGCTGCATGCTCCAGCAACTGAGCCAGTCAGGGGCCCCTCAACAGCAGCATATTAATGATCTATTCAACAAGTAGAAGGACGCTTGGCTCTATCACTTAACAGCTAAGTAACAGTGAACCAGTAACCTCTCTACCTCTCAGTCTCATTTGTAAAATGGGAATGTTATCAATAGTACTCTGTACACAAGCTGGTTAGACCAAAAACTAATACAAATTAAGCCCAAGAATATCTGGTATAGAGTATGTGGTCAATAAACACTTCCTGTTATCAAGAGCTACATTCCAGGCAAGGAGATGATGAATAGGGGGAATAGAAGTGGAAATGTTACCTTGGGAGAGCAATGGGCAGTGAAAATCGGAAAGGCTGGTTAAAACTAGATTGGAGAGGATGTGGATTATGAGACCTTTTGAAGAACAATAAAAGCAGTACTTCAGAAAAATCCGATGTGATAATGGGTATGACAGGAACTGCAAACAAGCCGCCATTCCAGCCAACGACCTCAACTATTGGTTGAAAGCAGTAACCAAAATGTTTGCAAGAATGCTAGTAAATATTCCTACCCATTCACCATTGTAATTTACCTTATTTACGTAAGATTAGGGTATCTAAGACAATACATTTTTCCAGCCATACTCTAATTTCACTCTTAACCAACTCCAAACAATTGAGAGAAAAAGTAAAATAGAGGGGGCCCACTGTTCAGGTCTAAAAACCAATCTTAAGAAAGGCTGCCCCTTTCAGGGGCTTGAAAGACCTGACCGAGCTCCACCCGGACACGTGCTCATCACAAATCTTCCCCAGCCCCTGGCCCTGGCGCCAGGCGCTTGGGAAGCAAGATTCGCTCAGACCAGATCTAGGTGACTCTCCAGGGACAAGAGGGATGGTAGAAATCAGGGGGCGACTCTAGGGCTACACTCTCCCAGCGACTCTTCTAGATGCCCTCCAAACCCTGGGTCATGATAGAACGAACCCCAAATTCGGCCCGTGCCTCAAAAGAAGCCTCCCCACAGCTGCCTCTCTCCCCGAACTAGTAAACCTCCCAAGCTTCTCCCCACTTGGCCCTTAACTCACCCGCACGTGTCTGGAGCTCCGCCGGGGTGCTCCCGCCGGAGCAGAGGCCGCAGGGAAAAGGACAGCCCGAAAGCGAGAGGAGCCCCGCCCCGGGGCGGATACGGAGCAGGCCCTCAGTGGGCGGGGCCCGGAAGCCCCGCCCAGGAAAGTCCGGGTTAGAAAAATGCAGGAGCCGTGGCAGAAGTGAGCTTACTCCTTAGAGAAGCTAGCACCACGCAATAGGAAGGGCAGGAATCTGCACGAGGGCTACACTTATTTGACCCCCATCCCGTTTGTTACTTACGGATGGGAGGGGGCGTTGGGTTCGGAGGTGCTAAAGACTGAACTTGGTGTGTCCTAAGGGGGGGCCGTGCTTCCTGCCTGCCCACACCGAGCGCCCGCCGGACGCCGGATCCTCTCGCACGAATGGCGCCTTTGGGTTCCTGCTGGCGCAGCCCACGCTTACGCTTTTTCCACCTCCCGCTCAGATCTCTCAGGCTTTCTCCAGTAGGGTTGTCCCTGGGCTGATGGCTCAACCACCCACACAGGTTTCGGGTTTAGTTTTCGGGTTCTCTCCAGAAGATTTTCGGGTAGATAATGCCTGGCACTCCTACAGCCTAACCCTGTGGGTCAGCGTCCCTGATGCCCTGCAGTGGCATCCTTAGCTGAGTTGCAGTCGCTAAAGAATACTGGCTTTCTCTGCCAGAGTTGCCTTGCCCCGTGGCACAGTCAGCCAAAGAGGCACATCTTGAGTTTAGACAGATTGCCCACCAGGTTATCAGCATTTCTTATGAACACTAAAACTTCCTTCTCCCATTAGCTAGAGTCAGTAGGATTCTGTCCTGCTGAATAGCTGGTAAAGCTGGAGCCCCTCTCTTTCCTAGCCCCTACAGCAGCCTATCCTGTCTGCTCATCTATAGCACCTGGCACCTTTGCCAGGCAAACCCCTAGGAATCAGCCACTGCCCTTGGAATCTGCCAACATGTTTTATTATCTTCCCTCAGCTGTCATAATGAAAGAAAATGTGTTTCCAGCGCACCGCATTCCTCACAGACCTCTGTTTGAGAAAGGCCAGAGTGCAAAATTGATTCTGGCTAGAGACAGACACTAGGCTCTAAGGCCAGAGAGAGACAGAAGAAGTGGTAAGCACAAATCCTCCAGTTTTGATGGAGTCGGACACAGGCTCTGGTTGGAAAAAGGCTTACATAAATACAGTAATTAAAAAAGTCACATGAACAGTGCTGAGCCGGTAGGCAGGGGCTCTGCTTTAAAGTTAAATAGGAATGTGGCTGAAGACTGCTGCCATAATCAATGCCTGCATCTGGCTGTCACAGTGTGTTCATAAAAGAGGGTTATGAGAACTATAAAACCCTGCAGATTGGGTGGGTAATTGTCCTGTGGAGCTCTGCTAAAGGCAAAATTGCATTGACATCTCACATATTTTGCTTTCTTCTCTTCTAAACACACAAAATGGAGAAGGAGAGCTATCCTGAGGATTCAGGAAAAGGAAAGATGAGGTTTGTGTGAATATGTGCATGTGTGCTTTCAGAGAAGAGACAGGAAGTAATTGAGGCTAGAGAAATACAGGGCCTTTGGGGAGAGAAGGACCAATGACCTGGTGACTACTGGATTCATAGATTAGTCAGGTAGGAGGCAGGATTTGTGTGGAAAGAAGGCCAACCATTATGAGTAAGGCTGAGTGGTGGGCCATGTTGTCATGTCATTGAAAATGTAGTAACCTTTTTTAGGTATAGGGCATTCAGTGTCCTACGGAGGAAAACCTAGATTATGATTTCTGCATTTCCTAGTTAAATTCTTCAGGGTCAACCTTCTTAGCCTCTAACCTTTTAAATTCTGAATTCATTTTGGTGAGTTGATTGACATGGTCTTTTACCTGTAATAGCACTACTTTTCTACTCTGTTTCTGTGTTATTCTTTTTTTTTCCTTCCACATTTTTATTTAATGTTTCTTATTCTGGCAAAGACAAAATTGTTAGGAATAATAACAAAAAAAGAAAAGGGAAAATTTCTAGGAAAAAAAAATGCAGCCAGATGAAAGACAAAGGATTAGGGTAGGTTCATTAGCTTTGAGTTTGACCTCATAATCGGATCTAGCCCTAAGGGACACTAGGTCCCCAAACTTCTTACGTGCCTTTCCCTCTCTCCTCTGTCTATAGTCTCCTTGCTTCCCTTCTTGAAGCCTTTTGCCCTTGAGATTGATCCCTTTCCTCTCCTCCCTGGACAGGAACCACCAGTAGAGAAATGTTCAATCATATATTCAGTCAGTCAACCAGCATTTACTGAACATCTACCATTTGCCAGACCTGTGCAGGTGCTTCAGATAAAGTCAGAGGAATAGAGATCTCTGCTTACCTAAAGCTTACAACCTAATGGGGGGAAAAAGACAAATAGTGTAGGTATCCTTGGGCGGATGTCAGAGGACAGCTAACCTAGCTGGGGGAGTCAGGGAGAGTACTAGAGATGGCAGCACTCCCTCTGGATGATCCTAAGAGCTTAGAGTTGAAGAGGGATGCCTCCTTCATCCCTGTACTCTACTCCTCCTGGTGCTTCTCTGTAATAGCTATTAAGATTAGAGTGGGGCCCTATAGTTGTCCTTGTTATTTCTCAAAAGCATAGTTGAATTGGCAAGGATATACAGAAGTTGGACTCTTCATACGCTTCTAGTGGGAATGTAAAATGGTGCAACTGCTTTGAAAAACAGTCTGGCAGTTCTTCAAATGATTAAACATAGAGTTACTTTATGATTCAGCAATTCCACTCCTAGGTATATACCCCAGAAAATGAAAATATATATCCATACAAAAACTTGTACACAGATTTTCATAGCAGCATTATTCATAATAGATAAAAGGTTGAAATAACCCAAATGTCCATTAACTGACAAATGGATAAATAAAATGTGGGATAGCCATACAGTGGAATATTATTTGGTCATAAAAGGAATGAATGCTACAACATGAATGAACCTTGAAAATGTTACATTAAGTTAAAGAAGCCAGACCATATATTGTTTGATTCCATTCATACAGAAGTCCAGAATAGGAAAATCTGTAGAGACAGAAAAAAGATTAAGGGCTGCTCAGGCCTGAAGGGGAGAGGGGAGAAAGATCAAGGTTCTAGGTTTCTTTTTGAGGTGATGATGAAATATTCTAAAACTGTGATGGTGGTACATATCTGCGAATATAATAAAAACCACTGAATTCTATACTTTAAATGGGTGAATTGTATGGTATGTAACTTCCATACCAAAAAAGCTATTAAAACAAGAATGAAAAACATATTAGGGGACCTGAAAGATATGCAGTTCTGATTAAAATTGTGGTTTGCATGGTTGTTGCCAATTTTAAGGTTTAAAAAGGACTTTTTATTCTGGGTCCTATGTCCCCTCGGGGCTCCTTCCTCAGTATACAGAGAAGTTAATGCATCTGAGTGGGCAGCATAAACAGATGCAAAGGAGTAGACTGTGCATTCCCAACCCTGCACTCCCTAACTTCCCTCCCTCATAATGATTTGGTTCAACATTTATGGTATACCTCCTGTGTACAAGACCTATGGACCTGAAAGAGACAGAGTCTCTTTATTCCTTCCAGTGGCAGAAGTTAAATCATTGATATAATGCTGTTTATATAAAGAAGTCTTTAGGAGATAGGCAGTGTGACAGAAAGAATCGTTGCAAGGCATCTTGGGATTCTGGACTTCTTCTGTAGAGAAACATCATAATGGCATCAGCTAGAGCAAGACCAATTCCCAGTCCTTCTTGATGTTGAGCAAGTACCAAGGGTTGGCTCCCTCCTCACTTGCCTCCAATCACCTCATTTGGTTTCTAGACTCAATTAGTCTATTTCCATACCCTTCATTTTCTCACCAACTCCACCCCCACAATGTCCAAATTGGCCCTCCAATGCTGAAACCATTTGCCAGAAATTCATTAAGCTGAACACATGGGAAATTACGGAGGAGATTTCACTTGTCACTTAGGCTCAAATATAGCAAGTAATTTTAAAAGGACAGTGGCAAGAGGCTATTTTTATCTTGCTTGTTTGTGCTGAGTTTTCTTATCTTGCTGTCTCTCAGTCTCTTCCTAGCCACCTCTCTTCTCCTTCTTTAAATTAAATGTTGGTCTTTTAAATCTTTTTCTCGGATTCTCTTAACTTGTTTTACAGAGTCTTCTCTTTCTGTCCTCATCAATACATCATATTGAGTATCTACCACATGGCAGGCCCTATGGTAGGCACTAGGAGAGGTGGAGTGATGAATAAGACAAACATGGTCCTTACCATTATGGAGATTACAGTCTGATGAGGCAGGTGGACATCAGGTGGAGTGAGTTCAGATTTGGTCACAGCAAAGACTTGAGGGAGTTATTTGCACTTTTATGATGTTAAGTGTACCCCCCAGTAAATGGGCATGTAAAAATCGCCAGAATCCCAGCATGCTTGTGGGGTTAGGGAATAAATCTAATATATCACAAGGAATGAAAAAAACCAAAGATCCAGGTTTCTGTGTGATACAGTCAAGCCCCTGGGTAGAGAAAACATGGATTTGGGAGTCAGATGTTGGTGAGATTCTAACTGCACCACCTTACATGTCAGCTATTTGACCTTAAGTGACCTCTGGACATCAGTACCTTCACCTATAAAATGAGAATTAGAATCTCTACATTTTAGGTTGTTGGGAAGATGGAATGAGATGTCTTATATAAGGGACCAGGCAGGTGCTCAACCTATGTTACTTTCTTTCTCATGACCTCCCTGTCCGCACTTTGAATCACACACTCGGAAAAAAGAAAAAAAAAAAAAGAGCCCAGTCTCCCAGTTGGTGGGAAGTGGGGTTCCTCAAATAATATTCACTAATCATATGCCCAGAGAGATGGGTTATAACCATATGATTAGTATAAATTGCTCTATACACGCAACTTAGGACAGTCAAATCACTCCCTTCTTCTTTGGTAAAGGAAAGGCAGTAAAAAATGAAGTTATAGGGAGAAGACTGAAATGAGATGTAACATGGGCTGGGGCAGGCCTACCTGGAGGTCAAGAATAAACCTGCCGACCTCTTCCTCTCCCG